ACGTTATTAAATTGATATCAACTATAGTGTCACACGCAAATAATCATTTATTGAATAATAATTTTTTTCCAAAAGTAATACACCAAGTCGATTTTTAAAAACTCTAGTCGGAAGATCTTTTAATTCTTTTGGTAACATGTTAACATGTCATGTCATGTTTCGCTTAAATTCTGTTATTGTACACGAGTGGTTAATATAGAGTAAAAATAAAATCCTCTATTATTTAAAGCACCCGGATGACCCAGAAACCGCACAGCATTTCCAATTATAATTTCTTATATTAGTAGAATTTAAAAGATTATGAGTTCTTGTTTCGCATTATCCCTCAAATTATTTTGACTAACATACGAATAATAAACAAATTATTGGAAGTACATATGTGTAAAAGCCCTTGTAATAAACATTCTTTGAGCTTTTTGATGTGAGCCCGGAGGCACTACAAGTTCAATGCGATATGCTTTTAATTTTAATAGACTGTTCATGTGAATAACGGGCTATCAAATTGAATGACGGCTCTCAATTGAACTCTTAATGGTTATTTTACTTATAAACTCGTTTCAAAGTATATATATCGTTTGATAAAACGTCTGGCGACATTTGGACATATTTATAATAATAATAATAATAATAATAATTTTTATTAATCAGACAAATACAGTCCATCGATTGATTAGTGAGTTAGTAACAATAGTTTCTTAAGATCTATGTTAGAGAATTAGGTAATAAAAACTATCAGGTACAAAGCCCTGCGGAGATGTCGGAGCAGTGTCGTAAATAGGGGCACTCCATTCTTTCGACTATCATCCGTAAGATGTTGCTGGAGCTGCCCCGCACCCGGCGCACCAAAGAAGCGCACCGCTTTCGCATAGTGGCGAAAAAGCAATCCACCCGCGCCTCTGCAAACATTCTTGATGCACTGCAGAAGCGAGGCAGCCCCAACAACATCCTAAATGCGTTATTATACTGCACCCGAAGCGAGTTGTATGTTTGTCGAGTAAAACAACGAGTTTATAAATGATTTAAGTTGTCATTTTTCAACTAAAATTATTTTATATATAATGACTGCTACGGGTTCTGTTTCTGACTGAACAGTGTTGGCCTAGTAGATTTAACGTATGCATCCCTGTGGTCGTGGGTTTTAACCTCTTGTGCTAATGGACTTTCTGTCTATGTGTGCATTTAATACTAGCTAAAGTACGGTAAAGCATCGTGAGGAAACCGGCATTTTTAGACCCAAAAAATCGACAGTGTGTGTCAGGTACAGTAGTCTGATGATGCCAATGACCTTCTTGCCTATTAGAAAAAACAAATGAGCACGAAACCAGTACATAAATCTCTCGGGTTCTGGTTCTCTTATTCTAGTGCTTTTACAATATATGTGCGTATAGCGTTATGTAGACCTTTATATATAAATCTTCTTTGCATGTGTTCGTAATTAAATATATAAACAGGGCTCCTCTTAAACTGTTGTGTCTGTTCAAGTGGATCGTCAATAGATTACAAAAGATAACTTTTTTTAATATTATTAAGTTGTTTGTATGTAAGACGCGTGTACGGGACAACATCTGTCAGTCCGCTAGTATATAATAAATATGTATATCCGTTTACAACTTTTATTCTAAGATACAATATTAGATCGTAATGTATTTACAAGTTAACATTTAAACAGAGAAATGCGAAACATACTCGAAACATGTTAGAGATATAGGCCTACCTTGTATTGTGTAATACGAAATTGTTTGACGTCACGTAGGTCAGTGACCCTAGTCGCTCAGTTATGTCCAACAGTATAGACATAGTTCTGTGTCTGTTGCACAACTATTCTTTCCCGTTTGCCGAAATATTTCCACGTTCGTAAAAGTAATTTTTCCATAGAAATCATGTTGGCGAGTTGAATACAGACCTTGTGCTAGAAGCTGATAATAAAGCTGTGTGAGAGCATGACTCCTGCTGATAAGGATACGTATTTGGAACATTTGAAACTGACAGAACTCATAATAGTAAGTTACCGTAATAGGAAATTTGTATTGCCCATGACATCAAAGAACAAATCATTATTACTAAAACCACTTCGGGTAGTTCCAACACGACCCAAAAGATCCCGGAGTCATCATTCAAGAGAGAGAGAGACAACTCCTCTTGGCTCCGACCGACTTTTTTTTATATTAAATAAAATTTAGTTTAAGTAAATAATATTAACATTTTGTAAAAAAACAATACTTTTGAGTTTTTAATCGATTATGAGGATATATAGCTAGCAGTATAAACTTATGTATTTATTCCTATATAACTTATGTATTATGTAGGTATTTATTTGCTTTATTGACACATAAATTATTATAGAAACTATCTAGATAACAAGAGCGTTATAATCTGGGCCCCCACAAAAGAGACTTCGTAAAAAAACGACTAAACTCTAAACAACTTTTATTTTAATTATTTTTCCTTTACCTTTGTACAAACACGATTATATTGTTCTTAAATAATAAGTGAAATCATGATCTGTATTTTATTTGTATAATATGTTTGTTAAATACTAAAAGATTTCATTTTATATGGAAAATAATTGAGTGCCACGGAGGTCCCCAAACCTAAGCCTTTACTCCTTTGTTGGCCCGAGGCTTCCAGACGTCTAAATCTGGCCCTGGTTATATATAGCAGCCAAAACTTAATATTACTTAGTGTAACAGTTTGACATAAAACCCTATTCACACAACTGTGTTTTCGCCAAAATTAAGACATATTCCGAAGGTTAATATTACATAACGCAATCTCGGTCAAAATGGCTTAAAACTTAAAACAATTTATTGATTACGTCATTCCACGGAACGATTGAATGTTACATTTGTTTCCTGATCCTTTCTCTCGTGAAATATCAAGAAAGTTATATTAATATTGATGCACGCTTTATCTCACGATATTTCACAGCAGTAATAAAATAAAAATAGCCTATGTCGAATGACCTCGATTCCAGCATTACATTAGTTTTTGTTATTATATTTAATATTATATAAAAGAGTCTGGGACTAGTGCTAGACAGGCTACTTCTAATTAACTTGCGGTATTTGTTTTAAAATAAGTGTTGTTTGAAGATTTGCTATTTTAAAAGAGTAGCCGAGAGTTTTTTACGCCGGCTTTTTCTCTCGGCCTACACCCTCTGTCTTCTTTGCCGATGCGTAGGGATGCCTACAGATTCAAATTTAATGATGTGGAATAAGTGATACCTGTATCTTATGGTCCATAAAACATATTTTATTTTTTATTTATTTTATTAGTACACGACCTCAGACGAAGCCTTCTCCAAATTCTTCCATTTGTCTCTCGTCTCTCATATTCCAATCTTTCCTATTCTCCTTTTCCCAGGTGTCTCATGGGCGTCCTCTCTTTTCTTCACACCACTTAATTATGCAAATTAATTATAAAACATTGTGTTAAATATAAAAAGTTATCGCTGTGGTGGTCTACATCCATGTTGGCTGCATATTGCGCTGATAATGGGAGAAAAGCGCAATGTAATGAATACCAGGCGGCTGTTTGACTAACGTTTTATCATTAAGTCGTGCTGTTAATTAATTTAAAATCAATAAATATGATGAATCGTGTTCTAATAACAAAAAGAAAGCCGATCAAAAGATCGATTACGCTACCTTTTTCCCGTAAAGCATTGATATCATATTATGTGATTAGAATATGCGTGCGCGCATGAGAAACGAATGGAATAGGTTATCCAACTATTACGGTGGCATCTCATTTACATTATCATGGCACGTTATGACATAATGTAGTAATTTCATCAAAAGTAGGTTTATTGCACAAAATGTCCTTAAATATCAAATGGTCGGATTATACTTGTATGTAATTGTACGTTTTGTATTATAATAATGAATTAGGTATATATTTAAATTAAGGTCAATACAGAGGCGATGAGAACTTGGAAAGATTTTTTGTGGTTGGTAACACAGAAGGCAAAAGATCACGTGGCCGTTTACCAACTTGATGGACCGATAAAAGACTCATCGTCCTCAAAACTATACACTGTTACACTGGCACTGGACGGAAACCGGTGGAAGCAGATGGTCCGCTCCAGATGTTTCCTTGCTGACCACGACGAGACGAGAGATAAGGGTAAATCTAAAATGAGACTCGCAACTTAGAGTTCCATTCGAACCCTAAATAAAACATATGTCTGTGTAATGATATTTTAAGTAATTCAAAATTATGTTATGCCTGTAATTCACGAAAAATATCAATTATTTTTGATTAAAAAATCATAGTAAAATATCATTAATTTTTATCAATCACTAACAATTTTGTGTGTTATTTTGTCTAAGGTGTTTTTTAAATTATAACCAGTCCTCACAATAACCGTTTACGAAGTTTTATTGTTGTAGAGTATTTCGTTTGTGACTATTATGTATTGTGTAATCGCATAGCTGTTATTATTTATTTACTAGCAGTACAACAACGATAAATTGTACGATCCGCCCATACAAAATATACTTTTTTGTAGAATAATAATAATAAATCGTTTATTTGCAAAGAAAGTGGTATATTCATTGATTAATTATAAAAATAATATATTAAATTAAGCATAGTAAGTAATATTTCACAACATATTATAATGAAAAACAGAAATTCAAATTCCAAATACATCATTATAAGAAATTTTCAAGAATCCCCCTTAACAATCAAATTGCCCCCAAAGTGGGGCGTGGGCCTCACGTTGACAAATATCCTCTCCCACACTAAAAAGGCCTTGTTTAAAACCATATTATATTTTTTTAGCGTTTGTTGTTTATGTTAATTTCTTTAAATATTTCATTATTCCAAAGCGTTAAGTATAATAATCATTTATTAAAATTACCATATTTTGACAAGTTAATGGTAGAAAGACGCTCATTACTATTGAGTAATAGCAATTAGCACAGTAAAAATGAATTTTTAAATACATCATTGATATCTCGTTAAAAATTTCCGTTATTTCAACTGAAATTTTAATCATGTATATTCCAGCACCTCGTTATGGAACCCGCGGAGGTTTTTCCGAACCGTTACGACTTAAGAGCCTTCATGATGAGTGTACTATTATTTTAAAGGTCGGTAACATACACGCGACGTAGTAAATGTTATGGTTAGCACTTTATCCAAAGTCTCGCCTGCCCGTTTGCCTCCTGTCCCATTAAAATATGGGATAAATAGCAAGTTAATTGTGGCAGTTATGAGATAACTAATAAGACTATAGGCTGTATGTACATTGCTTGTATATTAAGCTTGTATATTAAGCTCTTAAATATTATTTATTAATTTATATAGGGCTAAACTATAAAACGATGTTTATTTATAAGCAAAACAAAAGCTTCTTTATTAAAATATTTTCTGTTTCTAAAACCTTGTCTAATATATAAAATTCTCGTGTCATATTCATTTTGTCATGTTCGTTCCCATACTCCTCCGAAACGGCTCGATCGATTCTTATGAAGTGACAAAAATGACAAAAATGTCAAGCATTAATTAATAACCTTTACTTGTCCATTATGTTACGATTAAGTAATGGAGCATATGTCAAGATTTTTAACATTTTGAATTGTAATTGGAAAAAAATGCGACCTATTGAAAGGTATGTAACATCCGTATACATTCTCTAATTGTTAAACTATAGATTATGTTAATAACGCAACTTAGATAAAAACATTTTACCATTAGATATTAAGTGATAATGCGCATGGACAGATACTGACAAAAGGAAGAATGAATACCGTCTTATACGAGAATCGGATTCGAATCGGAATTACTTCGGGCAGCTTAAGTAACCGTTTAATCTTATTGCACTACTGTGAGCACGCCTAATAATGCATTTTGGTATTGGCTAAAATAATTGCATGAACACTTTATTTTTCAAAGTCACTAGAAGAGCAGTTGGATTATTTATTCATAAATAAATAAAATAATAAAAAATAAAAATCACTTTATTGTTCCCATCATTCAAAATCACTTATACATTTTGTACTTACATTCTAAAGGTTGTGAACATACAGAGATATGAATTAGTGTCGTTATTTATGAATGGATACTAATATTTAGTGTTAAGATTTTCTATTTTAAAATGTTTATTTTAAATCCTTAATTTGCTTTGAAAGAGGTACATACTATGACGAATGAATTAAAAATCTACACTATCCAGCTATATCTAACTAGCATGCAACTGCCAAAATATAATAAAAAGCAATTAAATTATTAATTGTCAAATGTCATATTATATAATAGTTTCTTAAAACTTACAACCTTAGAACTCCTACGCAATATAGAAGCACCTTTAGAAATCTAATAACTTTTCGTTTGAAACTTTAAGAACTTAATTAAACTCTCTCTCTCTCTCTCTTCTCTTCTCTTCGTAGCTCATGTCTGAGCGTCGAAGCGTACAAATTGTTTCCACCGGTTTCTATCGAGCGCCTATCTTATAACAGTGTACAGTTTTAAGGACGATGAGTATTTCACTTGATCGGTCCATCTGGTTGGTGAACGGCCACGTGATCTTATGCCTTCTGTGATACCAACCACGATCAGCTTCTCCAAGTTCTCATCGCCTCTGAGCATTGTACGGCAATATGATATGATAAAATTATTAAACTCAGAATACTTAAGTATATGTATTAAAATTTATGACTTTTGTTGATTCTAATGCATGAATTTAAAATAGTTGATTATTAACATGTTACGCCCAGTTTCTATATCGCTAATTTGTACGAGTCGTCGATATATATGTAAATTATTTATAAAGTGTATTTGAAAATTGTTGTTTTTATAGCCAACGACCCGTTGATGTTACGTGTAGATATAAACTGAGGCATAAGTTTACAATATGTGGGTTTACTTTCATTATTTAAGGCTGACCATCTCATTTAGCATTTTATATAATATTTATTCTCAGTGTGTAATTAACACTGGCTCCTACGGTGAAGGGCAAATTTAGCAAACTGTCATGGCTTTTGTCCCAAAATTAACGTTGACTTTTATAAAAGTATCTGTTGCAAAAATGTACCTCCTAAAAAAAATAAAAAATTATAGAATGTGTACATTTGACACATATAAACATAATATCTAGTCTAACGAAGTTAGACGAGTTTCATAGCTTTGCATTATTATCTAACACTGCAAATAACAGCCCTTAGAAACGAATCACACTGTTAATGTAGACATAGACATAACATTTATTAACGAAACACACACCCAGAAACACACAAAATAATAATAATAAAAAAAAAGCTAAATAATAATGAAAATATTTTTTTTTCTTTAAAAGAACAAGGTAGGTACTTTTAAGTTTGCAATGCGCGTGTGTTGTGGTTGTACCTGGCCCCGGCTCAGGATTATGCTGAGGAGCAGACTGTTCCACAGCGCTGGTCATTCTGCCAGAGATCACAACAGCTAGTTTGCGCCTCAGTCGCAAAAACATAATGTAATAATACTTAGGAGAAGAAATAATCAAAATTGCTTTACGCGTTTCCGAGGTACACATACAAATGTGCCAGATGTGCTAATTTACGCGTCATAGGTAAAACTATGGTAAAACATATACGACGTAATATATATTGCGTAAATTGAGCTACTTTTGGTGATTCCCTGTTTAATTCAATAGCAGAGAAAGTGCTGTACGAATAACAAGGATTCAATATAGCTTTGTAAGGCAACAGGCAAAAAGCCTGCTTACGTAACGAAGACTGTGTCCGCATAGAACAGATACTAAAAATGCTTCAGAAAGAATAAATAGATAGATATATTTATTATTGTTTATTTTTCAGATACACATGAATTGTTGAAAAAATTCGGGACAAAATCAGACTTAATTTCTTACTTTATGATAAATACCACAACGGATTATAATTTTTTTCTGTATCTTATTCTGTTAGGTAGCTTTCTATGTCTAGGTTATTATTTCACCGTAAATCGAATTCAGTCGTAAACAATAATAATATGGAAAAAGGGAGTGAATTAAAAAACACTAAGTATTTAAAAAATCTATTATAAAAAGCGTTTTGAAACAAATACGTTTTTAAATTTCGTCATTCAATTCGTTTTGTAATATTCTACAGTTACAACTTTATTATAAAGTATGAATTATGGAAAAGCTTTATTTATTTACATAATTACACAGGAAGACTTTAGATCAAAGGGTCGTAATGTCATAAGCACGAAGTAATTTGTAATTCTGAACATCTCGACATTATTATCTCCGACTTTCATTTTCGCTAATAGATATATTAAAATTTATAATCTAGATCAAAACAAAGGCTTATAATGAAAGATTGTGTTAGGACTTATTTGAGTTACATCATTAACCACATGCTATGTATTAAACTTTCCTGTATAATTTAATTTTAATTACCTTATTTATATTGATGGGTTTATTATTAAGAAATAATACCTAATTTGTCAAATCTAAAGACGAATATTGCAAGTGACATTTCAAATTACCTAAAAGGAAAATCTCGAAGCGATATTTTACGAATTTTCTGATCAAGCGTTTAATTTATTTCTGTGCTTATTACTACGAAATTTCGAACTTACGAGTGCGTCTAAAAGGTGAAAATTTTTCCGATTAACAATATTGTTTTCCGGTTACAAATTCATAATTCACGCCGTGAAAGTAGCTGTGATCGTTTCAGATCAATGTTTTACCGAAGACAAATTCGGTGGGTGTCATTAAAATCATAATTCTCGTATGACCGAAGGCCGAATCTTAGGAAGAGTCAGGGAGAGAGGTGTAGACGACTCGTCGGTATATAAACGTACAGATCGTGTGGAGAGCATCATACAACCACGAGACCTCCGAGAGTCAACATGAAAGCATTCTTGGTAGGTATATGTGTGCAGTGAAAGTGATCTGTGACCTGTGTGTGACCCGCTCAAGAGGCTTGCTTCCTCATAGGACTGTGACTCAGTGCACGCGGCGACCGCTACATTTCAGTCGGCGCACTATCACGACTTTTGCACTGACGATCTTTTACACGCAGACGAGTGGATGCACTTGGGTCACTTTGGTAATTTATGATGGAAAGCTTTATATTAATATGTTTTATTGCACTTTAGGTATTAGCGGCCGTTGCGGCTATCGGCTCGGCAAGACCCGAGGCGGGATACAGTTACAATGCGCCTGGAGGAGGAGGTGGCCTAGGTGGTCACGGGGGTAGCATCGGCGGAGGATTCGGCGGTGGCCATGGGGGAGGCTTCGGAGGTGGATTCTCCTCCGGTGGACTCAGCTCTAGCAGCTTCGGTATCGGAGGTGGAGTCGGAGGTGGAATCGGTGGAGGATTCTCCTCAGGAGGTTTCTCATCGGGTGGATTCTCATCCGGAGGTGGTGGTGGATTCTCATCCGGAGGTGGCGGCGGATTCGGCGGCAGCTTCGGTGGCGCCCCAATTGTGCAGAAACACATCTACGTCCATGTCCCACCACCAGAACCCGAAGAACAGCGCCCACAAATCATCTCTGGTGGCGCCATCCCCCAGAAACACTACAAGATCATCTTCATTAAGGCCCCAGCACCTCCCGCCCCAATCGCGCCCATCATCCCCGCCCAGGCTCAGAACGAAGAGAAGACCCTCGTCTACGTGTTGGTCAAGAAACCCGACGAACAGCCCGACATCACCATCCCAACTGCTGCCCCCACCCAGCCCTCAAAACCAGAAGTTTACTTCATCAAATACAAGACCCAGAAGGAGGGTGGTTCCATCGGTGGTGGTGCTATTGGCGGTGGTATCGGATCTGGAATTGGCGGTGGAATTGGCAGTGGTATCGGCGGTGGTATTTCTGGTGGTAGCATCGGAGGTGGTCTGTCCCTTGGCGGCGGCAGCATCGGTGGCGGTCACGGCGGCAGCATCGGTGGTGGACACGGTGGCAGCATCGGAGGTGGCAGCATTGGCGGTGGCATTATCTCTGGTGGTCACGGCTCATCAGGAGTCAGCACCTCATACGGTCCCCCCGGCCAGTCCGGCCCATACTAAACACGCTGAGCGTGCCCCCATGTGATACCTGCTTCGCCGGCGACAAATCTAGTTTATAAGTAGAGAAAAAATTACGGTGCCTAAATGTATTTATGTAAATAGTAATTTTAATTGCCTAATTTTAGATGTACTATAAATATTTTTGCATAAAAATATCGTTAAAGAAACAAATGCAATCTTTTCTTTCACCTCGATATTACTTAGCAAATATTCATTGGAATATGAAAGTGTTGTTTGAGATGACATCTTTCACATCCTTATAATGCATTAACACATCTGAAGAACAGGTGTAGTAAGGTAGAAAGTGCAATCGTAAGCGTGGGCGATCCATTACACAACATCGAGAGTCGTGACCCCTCGCTTGCATAACAGAAAGAAGCTACATCTTTCATCATTACATATCTATATTTTTATTACGTAAATAAAACCCATTCTAAACAATTCAGTTGCGTAAACCTTGACTTTTGAGATTTCCCTTTTATAAATTAGCACATTTTACATAAAGTGAATAAGAAATGTTGAAGTGGGCCATTGATTTACAAAGCAAATATTTAACTTATAAATTTTCCGTTACTTTATCAAAAGATTTGTGGTTCGTTGAACCGAACCACGCGTGTTATGTTATACGAAATATAATACAGCTGTAAGTTTTAAATTACCGAACCTAAAGATGAAAATATATAAGGCATAGGTTAATGTAACATATATGAGAGGAATATTTGTTAGACATAATAAGTTTAATTGTCAACGGAATTACTCGGGGATTTACGGACTGACATATTCTTTAAAATCACAATTAGAAGAATCCTATTGCCTGATATGATTAAAATATACAAATATTTAAATTTCCTATTAATAAAGGATGTAAAATAAAATCTTCAAATATTCCTTTATTGCATTACTTTCTTAGAATCTATTGATTATATATACATTGCCAAAGGGAAAGCCAATACCAAATTCAACAAAAACTTCAAATGAACTCGTCAAAAGGTCACTATCATATTCAATCGTCAATCTCACTTTAGCGTTGTTTTTATGGAGATATTACATATTCATTACAGCCACAATAAAGTGAAGAAACGTTGCTCAATGATGACCATACGATATTTGTAACAATCCACTTTACGAAACATCCGCTCCAATGCTTAAAGCATTGTTCCAATTTCAAATTTAAACTTTTAAGTTCTCAGGCGTTTGATTACGCACTTTTGCATTGTCTTAAATCTTTAATATTATACCGTATACGTCAAGTTTAGGGTATGATTTATACATATTTTTTTTAATTTCCTTGTAGGAGATACTTCACGCGATCGTTTTTACTATACACCTAGAATAGGGGACAAACGGACGGGAGACTTACTGGATGTTAAGTGATACCACCCCGAAGAATTCGGTTGATTTGGCCTCAAATTTCTATATAAGTTTCATATTAGCGAAGGAATAATGATTTACCGGCAAAATTACCTACCTGTCTTTTGTGTTTTGTCGATTTTTGGATCTCGAATTCATTGTTATTATTCATATACATACATAATATGATCTCGAATCTCAAAAAGTTATTGGACTAAATTACTGTTTAACTTGTGGTTAACATCTCTGACATCGTTGACAAATTTAGATGTAAATATTACAGCGATGCTATTCTAATTTCATATAAAATCGCTGTCAAACAAAATAATATGTCAATTGAAAGTGTCTGTACTGTAATTATTTAGATCTTATTATCCTTTCTACTCATTCGAAGTCCATTAATCTTCTTGGAGGCATTAGTACATTATTATATTATGTCAAACAGCCAGCAGATGTAGTTAATTTAAAATCATCATATACCCTATGTATACCATTTTTAATAATAAAATGGTATATAAAAATACTTACAATTCTTAATTCATAAAACAATAATTATTGTCTGTCTTAAGGAAAGTCCAACTTTAAAAAATGAGATTACTCTTAGATCCGACAGAAATTATAACCGGTCACAATAAATAAAACAAAGAAGATTTCAAAATAATATTTTTTAGGTAAAAAAGGAAATCTTAAATGTCTCAGAGTACCAGGAGCGCATAAGTTCCGAGGTAGTTCACAGCGAAAGCTTAGTGACGTACACACTCTCACTATCCGTTGTAGCAGTGCTTTTCGACAACTTTAAGTTCTGCCACGAGATACGAAAGTTCAAATTCTTATGTAATGGGACCGGTCTGGATCCAGTATTTACGTAATAAAGTAACGGAACCGCTATTGTCTTTGGTTAATGACTCAAGAATTATGAGCTTGTACTGTTCGTATTGAATTTCTTGAATAAGTTTCTTAATTATCGTTTTATTATTTGTTGAATAATTCTTACGTATTTGGTCTGGAAAGTAAAAAGTAACACAAACTTATTTATTACCATAAATTATAGACTAATTATTCAAATTAAACTATTAATTCATATTTTAATAACACACTTCTTCAATATATATTATATGCACTATGACATAATAAATGTAATGTCCGTAACGGTGAGATAAGCCTTCGCGTGACGCAGCCATTGTCTCTGAAATTCTTCCGGGAAACAGATGAATATTTAGAATTAATTTCTTCTTGTTACTTAGCAACAGAGAAAGCGACGTATAAAAAGGTATTTTGTATGGATGTAAAGCTACCTCATACAAGAAACAATTAGTATGTGTCCTAGTTTTTATGCAAACGTGACGATTGTATTGTCTGACTTAATTGAGATATTAGTTTAATAGTTACAACCTAGTCTGTGTTTCGACTCTCTCATTGTTCATAGAAATTTTGTTTCGATTTTTAAATTTTCCTCTTTGGTCCTTGGCCTCTTTGAAAGCGGCCATGTTTTCCATGAAACGTCTATTTGTCAATAGAGGACGTTTTACTCTGTAGTCTGTGGTTCGACTTTCATTGTTAAGAATTTGGTTTCGATTTTTAAATCCTGTCTATGGTGTTTGGCGTTCCTGTGGCCATATTTTTATACATTCCGACGATTCGAAGTTTGATTTTTATAGGTCACAATCATTTAAATTTTTTAAATGCTTACACTATTCAGCCAGTATTTTAGTTTTATGATGAAATCTTTTACTACAGATAATATTTAAGCTTTCAAATAGTTTAAATATTAGATTGTTAACGGTGCAAGACTATTGCATAGAATTACACAAGAGTTGAACGAAAGCGGATCTTTCATCCTTTATTTCAAACACGTCTGCCGACATTTCAAATGTGTGTGTTAACCGCAAAACGTATTGTTTGGTATTTGTATTCACTTTCTTTTATTGATGGGAAATCAACTCATTCATATTTACATAATATCAGTGAAATCTTTTTGCTTTTTTAGGTGTAGACAACACATTACAAAATATATAGTAAAAACATCGGTGGGTAACAATTTTTGGGGATAATATAATTGGTCATATTTATTTTGCAAATGGAATCAATATTATAATGAAGGATATATGACTTTATGCCCTGTGTTATTTGTGAACATACTTAACGCTAACGTTAGTTACCATTGTGGTCAAACTTTACTCCGGCCTCGAACCTTTGACCAATGGTTAGAAACGTCATTCACGCTTTAAGCAGACGACTGATCACATCAATGATCAATCAAACGCAAATAATGCACGGCACATTGTGGTGTTAGACTCCTTACAATATAAAAAAAATCAGTAAAAACATGCCAAACAAGAATTATGATGAAAGAATAACTTATCTCGCAAAAACCTGTCTAAATTGTAATCAAATTATCACTATTTCTGATATTTAACGTGAAAGTGAGAACCGTAACGTAATTATCGCTTGTGTAATCCTCAATGCGGTCTTAAATTCAAATATTTAGTAGGAAAAATAAATTGTGTAGCGATATTACGGCAGCGGGCAGGTTCCTAAACTTTTTCTTGATTGGTGATAAGATTTGTTTGATCTACGGTGATATGTCTATTATTTTCTGAGAAACACATATAATATACATACAACCTATAGATATATGTCTATTATCATAGAAGATACTTTGAATTCTCGTTGGGTACGTTTCGTTACGAACTAATTGAAACGCTAAAATTTCACAATTATTTAATAACGACATTTTACATTCCTCGGGTGAATTTTTATTATTTTAAATTAAGTAATTTTAAGTGGAAATATTTTATAATTTTAATTAAAATATAAAAGTTAATAGAAGAATAACCACTGAATAATTATTTAGAACATTGCAACACAATTAATTTGATCTTATTGTAGATTTAAAACAAACTTCTTTCCTTTTTTACTACATTTATCTGAAAATGACAACAATTAAATTTTTAATAGCAAGGTGCCTTTATAGCGTGGGCGAGTATTTAGACCATAAGTTTAACAACAATTATAAATAACTTAACTTATTATTATGACATTACTAACTGATCCGGCAAACGTCATTTTGCCATGTATATCATTTATAATAAAAAATAGGGGTTGATCGTAGAGGGGTGAAAGTTAGGGGTTGTATGTAATTTTTTATGCTGTATCATAAAAAAATAAAAAATAAGTAATTTATCTAAAAATTAAAAAAAATAATTATGGGGTGGACTACCCTTAACATTTAGGGGGATGAAAAATAAATGTTGTCCGATTTATAATAAATCGGTCAAGCCGTTTCGGAGGAGTATGGCAACGAAAACTGTGACACGAGAATTTTATATATTAGATGTTAATGTTCATATTATATGACATAATAAAAATGAATGCCTATTTATATATGGCTAATTGTGCGGATTTTTATAATTAATGTATCTAATTGTACCACTTAGAAAATAAACGTTTCAATTCATTTCAGTATTTAAATGATTAAGGTTTATTCACTTTCATGTTTGCCCAAGGAGAATTTAATTTAAGTATAAAAACATTCGCACTCAGAGTCGTCTTATTTTATCTCAAGCACCAGCGAGCGTGTTTAGGTTTTTACCCTGGAAGCCTAATGAGCTTTTAGTTTTAAGTACATATATTTTTTTTGTATTAGTTTA